AGGACATGTAAGTTTGGGAAAATGAAAAAAATAAATTTTTTTTCAAATAAAAGCAAGAATGATAAAAAAAAAAAGAATCATTTCATTTGACTTTTGCTAGTTTTTTTTATAAACTATTTTTCAGTTTAAAAGGGGTATTCTTTAATTGATTTTTATACTGACTATAAATTTTTTTTTTAAGTTTTTGATTTTTACCCGGGCCCCTGAAGAAAGCAAAACATCAATTTCCCGCTGGGAAAATTGTTTTTTTATCTGTAATGAAAAAAATTTCCTCTCAGTGAAAAAAATTGCTTCCCTTTTGTTTTTTAAATTTAATAAAAATAGGGGGACCATTTAAATTTAGTTTTATTGACAAAAATTTTTCTACTAGGGGGCATTTAGGCCCCCCCCAAATAAAAAAAAAAAATTGGGAAGGGGTTTGGGAAAAAAAAAAGGGGGGGCCCCCTTTCCCTTTTTGGCCCCCCCAAAAAGGGGCCCTTTTTTTAAAGGAAATACCTTTCCTTTATTTTTTTTCAGGTTTCTAAAGTAAAATTTTTCATTAAGGTTATCATTGACCGCCACACCCGTGACCTACTTTTGGCTCAAAATTTATATCTTTTGGGTAAATTACTCTGTGGAAATTGGGATTATGAAATTATCACCACTTTTTGGGGGCTTCCCAAAAATTTAACTTTTAAGGGGGATGACTGGGTCATTTCAGGTCCCTACTTGACATGAAAGCTGCCTTTTTGGGGCCATACGGGTATGTAACCCCCCATTAAAATAAACAATAAAATACAGAATAATATGAAAAAAAGCAAGGCCTTTTAAAAGGGGAAGTCGTTAAAATAATTTTAAAAAAATTTTTCGCATCAGTTTTTTAAACAGAATTCCCCAGTTTATTGGGATCTTGTAAATTTTAAAAGTTGTGATTGGCTTTTTTCGAAAACACCCACCCTTTATCATTTCCTTGGGACCCAAAAAAAAATGATATTAAATTTCGCTTAAAGGGATAGGGAAATTTTAAAAATTTTTTTCTCTTTTTTTTTTAAAGATTTTACCACTTTGGGGTTTTTCCCAAAAAGGCCCTTAATTTTAAAAAATTAAAATTTTTGGGGAACCCGTTTGCAAAAATCAAAAAAATATGGAAAGTTCTAATAAAATTGCTAATTATTTTAAGAATTTATCTCACAAAATGGGAAAATGCTTCCCAAACCCGTCAACAGTTCAAAACACTGGGGCTTACTATTTAATAAATTGATTTTTGGTTCAGAAACAAAACTCCCCTTTTTGGGGCAGATTTAAAAAAAAAAAATTAACCCTTTTTTTTATTAAAAATGGGAAATAATTAAATTTTTTAGAAAGTGCAGGTTGATAAAAAAAATAAACTCCTTCCCTTTTTTTATTAATTTGTGAATTTTGCAATTTGTTTTGGGTCGTCCCGATTACAACTTTTTCGTAAAGACAAAGTTCAAAAGGGAGATAGATTATTTTTCCAGTGTCCCATTTCTTTTGGAAAAAATCAAGGTCCAGCTTTTAAAAAAACAGTTTTTTGTCCAGCTATATATAAAAAAGATCAAAATCAAAGAATGTTCAAAAAAAAAATTTGATTTAAACATTTCGCCAAAATCCAAATCTATATTTTTTATTTTTTTGATTTTAAGAAAAAACTAAAAATTAATTAAAATTTTAAATAAGTGGGATTTCCCCCTTTTTAAAAAGCCCTTCCCGGGTTTGAGGGCCCTTTTGTTGCCAAGAAAGCTTTTTTCAAATTTGGGCGAAGCTAAAAAAATTTTTTATTTCTTTCACCCAAAAAAAAATTTTCTTTGAAAAAAACCAAGATGGCTAAAAAATTTATGCCCGAGCAAATTTAATTTTTGGGCTGCTTTTTGACAGAATAAATTTAAGTAAAGTATTGTTTGTAATGACCCGTTTTAGGCCAAAAATTTGTGTAAAAATTTTTAATTTGCAGCATTTCCCTTTTTTTAAAAATTTTAATTTAAAATAACACAAGTTCACATTAATAGGGATTGTTTATATTTAATGAAATTTCCAAATTTTTTTACAAAATCCCAAAAATGGATAAGTGGATTGTGACTTTTTTTAAATTTTTTATTCAACTCAAATTCCCAAATTTTTTTTGTTTCCATTATTTGAAAAATTTTCAAAAAAAATTTTAAAATTTTTTTTTTTTACGTTTTTTTTTCCTTTTAGCTCTTTTGGGGGAATTTTAAAAATTTTAAGTTTCATTAAACAAAATTTTTCAAATATGGTTTTTTTTTTTCCCTTTTTCATTTTATTTAACCTTTTTTAAAAGGGAAAAAAAATTGGAAATTTTTTTTTTTAAAAATTTCAAAATCGTTTTTTTTCTACAATTTTTTGGGGGAAAAAAAAATTTTTTATATTAAAATTTTTTTTAAAATTAAAGAAAATTAATTTTTTCCCTAAAAATAAGGAAAATTTTTTTCTTAAAATGGGGTTAAATTTTACTTTATTTTTTGAAAAAAATTACAAATATAATTTTAAAAATTTTTTTAAAGGAAAAAAGGGGTTTTTTTTCCCGTTTTTAAATTTTAAAATTTAAAACCGAAAATTTTTTTATTTGGGAATTCAAAATAAAATTTTGAATTTTCCCCAGAACCAAAATTTTTTTAAAAAAGTTAAAAGGAAAAGGCGTTTAACTATTTTTTCCAATTGTGGGGAAACAACGCCTTAAAAAAATTTTAGGTTTTTCCCAAATTTAATGGTTTTTATTAAAATTTGGGAAATTTTTTAAAAAAAAATAAAGGGGAAAGTTTATTTTTTTATTGGGGGAAATTGTGTTTTTTTTCCCCCGCCAAATTTTCTTTTAAAAAAAACATTTCTTTTAAATATAATTTTTTTTAAATTTTGAAAAAAACATGGTTTTTTCGAAAAATTTTGAAAGGGACTTTTAAAAGGGGGGACATGGTTTTCCTTTTTTTTGTTAAATTGGGGGGGCCCTTTTTGGCCCTTCCGGGTTAAAAAAAGGGTTTTGAAAAAAATAAAAGCTTTAATTTAATTTTAAAAAAAAAAAATTTCATCTGGTTTGGAAACATGAAATTTTAAGTTTTTTAACCCTTTTTAAATTATGGGGTTAAAAAAAAAAGGGGAATTTTTTCAGCCACACAAAACCCCCTTTTGGAAAAAATTTTTTATTTTTAAAGGGCAGGGAAATTTAATTTTGGTTTTTAAAAAAAATTTAAAATTTTTTTTCCAAATTCAAAAAAAGGCCGGAAAATTCCATTAATTTTTTAAAAAGGTGGGAAAACGTTAATTTGGGAATTTTAATTAATAAATTTTTTAAAAAAAAATTTTCCGGGAAAAATCAATGGAAAAAGGACGATTGGATTTTTTAAACAGAAAAATTTGTTTCTTATACCATTTTGGGGGATTGGAAATTTCAAAATACCCCGTTTTTTTCCAACCCAATTTTATTTTTGGGGGAAAGGGTTTTGGGGAATGAAAAAGGTTAAAAACCAGGCGGGGAACAATTTTCTTAAAAAAATTTAAAAATTTTTGGTTTTTTTTTTATAGGGTAAATTTTTATTCCCTTTTTTTTTGGGTTTTGTTTTTGAAAAAAAATTTTTAAAAGGTTTTTTTTTTAAAGAAAATTAGAAGTCAAAATAAACTTTAAAATTACTGGTTTTTCCTTTTCCCTTCAATTTTTTCCGCCCCCTTTTTTCATTTTAAAAAGGCTATTTTTCCAAAAATAGGGGGTAAATTATTATTTTTAAAAAAAAAAAACAAAAATTTTTGTTTTCCTTAAACTAAAAACATTTTTAAAAAAGGGGGATTCAGTAAAACCCCTTTTTCAAAAACTTTTTAAAGGAAAAATTTTGGGAAAATTATTTATTAAAAAATTTAAATATTCTTCCCAATTTAATTAATTAAAAATTTTTAAATTTTTTTCCCCAAAAAAAATTTTTTAAAGGAAAAAAAATTGGGTTTTATTTAATGGGTTCCCTAATTTTACCATAAATTTAAGCAAAAAAAATTTTTCCCTTAAAATTTAAATGTACTTTTTGAACAAAGAAAAATTTTTCTTTTTAAAGGTTTTTACAAAACCTTAAAAACAAAAATTTTTATTAAAATTTTAAACTCCCGGTTAAAAATGAAAGGGGTATTTTTTTTGGGTAATTTTTAATTTTTAAAATAAAATTTTAACAAATTGTGTGAGTTTTAAACATGCATTATTATTACACACTCATTTGGCATGTCGGATATCAAAATATGCCTGCCCTTTTTCGATTGAATCAAGTGTTGGTCATTGTTGGTAAAATGGGGGTTCAGGGGCAATAGCCCTCAATAGGATGTAGAGAAGCCTTACATATTTGCTCCTGTCTGGCTGATCAGCATTGTTAATAAGCATGCTATAGTTACATGAACTTTTGTTCTTTTCTACATACTGGTAAAGTGCATTTAACCCCAGTTTTAAGTGTTTAAGGTTAAGTGAATACTGATAAAAATGACAGTGAAAAAAGCTTTGTTTATTGTAATCTTATTAAGTTACACAGTGTCTATGCCAATGTCAGGAAAATAAACTTATATGACATGCATGCCAACCATTTCCAATGCTGTACCAATCTAGGTGTTTGGCTCATGACAATAATGCATTTTGGGAAAAAGGCACCTAGATAAAATTGGGAAGAAATATGTGGCATTTTGTAAATTTTAGTATTTTCAAAACATTAAAAACTAACATAAACATTACTTATAAGTTGTATTCATTGAAAATTCGTCCCCTGAGTGCAATAACCGATTAACTGCTATTAAATTTAGAAGGACTTATTCCGTTATTGCACAAGATATATATGATCATATAACCTGTCACTACATTTAAGGTACAAGTCAAGACATTTTAAATTTTTCTCAGAAAGAAACTTTTTTGTTGGGAATGTTTTTTTGAAATAGGGAATAAATGAGTTACAATGTATATTGCAGTGGGAATTGGGCCATATATCTACATTCATATACATTGTATATGCATGGATTAATTTTCACACAGTTAAAATTAGGAACATGTATCTCTATTTTGTAACAATTTATGAAAATTATTTCATTTTTCTTATATTGTGCATTTAAGCAAACAACATCTGCAGAGAAGAAAGTCGAAATATTATATGGCTCAAGAGGATTTTTCAATGCTAGCCAGGTAAAGATGATAATGGGTCATATTCTATTTTGCAGCTATAATGGTTATCATTTCTGAATATATTACATTACAATTGTTTGAACCATAATTTACTTATATATAAATTACTAAGATGGTCAGTTATCTAAAAAAAAAAAAAAAAACAGAATGTAAGAAATTGGCCTGTTGGTTAACATGTCTCTCTCCCAAAGGATCTTGAGTTCAACCTCTGCTGGGTTTATAACCATGTTTTATCATATGACACCTGTACTGGTTAGTTCCTGAGGAAACAGATTCTAGAATATACTTCAAATATATCAGGAAACAGATTCTAGAATATACTTCAAATATATATATGCTTCAAGATATATTATCACAATCAAGCTAAAATAAATATATCTTAAGACAAAATGAATATCAAAGTCAAAGTTTCATAAAAAACATAAAAAAAATGCAATATATTCTTAGAGACTTATATTGTTTTAAGCATGACAAGGCACTGTTATATTGGCCTTGTTATAAATTGAATAAAAAATTCCTTTCTGACATGGATATTTCTATACAGTGTAATCATAATGAACTTTGTTCCACTTTTCAGGCATCCACATTATTGTTCCTATATGCCAATCCAGCTGATAGAATCAGAGTGATCAAGATACTGGAACCTGTAAGAAATGTTCTGATATATGTGTGAAAAGTGTTTAAAGATTTTTTATTTTTCATTGTGAAAAAAAAATGTTTCAATTAGCAGATTTCCTTTCTTTAAATGTTAAAATCTCATTGTATTTCACTTACAAAGGAAAAAATCTGTAACTAGTTACTTATTGTAAGGTTCAACTGTTATAAAAATATTTAAGACTGACATTTTTTGAATTTTCAAATGTGAAAATGTTAGAAAATACATAACTATTTTGAAATCTGAAATGAAATGAAGGTATCATTTAGCTAAATTTTGCTTGGAGAAAGATGGTGTTTAAGAGTCCTTTCAAACATCGGTCACGGAGAGAGAGCACATTCTGTGTTAGCTGTAGCTACCTCAGAATTACCTATTTTTTAATATCTTATAAAGATAGGCTACTGTTTTTTGTGTTGGCAACATTTTAAACTTTCAGATAGCTATCTTTAGAAAATATTTTATTAATGATAGTGTGAAGTGTTTAAAGTATCTTGAGAAAATTTCTTACAAACGGTAACATCATATGTAAGTACATCATACATGTATGTAATATTTTCAGAGACTATGTCGTATGACATGCCAGGATGCTAGACTGATAATAGGTGCTGTAACTGTTCAAAATGATAAACTTATTGTACTAGATTGCATCAAAAGGTAAACTTTAATAAATTAAAATTATACAACTTAATTTTATAACTTTGCTTATTCTGACAAAATGCTACTTGAATAGAAAAGTTCTAGGCATCTTAATGGAAACATGTGGACGGTAGAGTGTCATTAGACCTTACACAAAGTACACTTTATGAAAATAGGGAAATTCTATTCAATTAAGGTAGTATTAGTTAAAAATGCATGCACATATAGAAATGTAAATTGAAACGAAAAATGTAAAAAATATTTTGTTATTCTGTGAATAAAATTGATATGCCAAAACAAACTTGACTTTTTATTATTCACTTGTGGAACATCAATTTATATATTTTGATAGTCATTGTCATTATTTGATGATGTTGTGAAAAAATTTATAACATTAAAGATGTTTAATATGTCCTTTTGCAATCATTTTCTTTTATAAGTTTCCAACAAACTAAAAGACATCCGGAAAGTTTACTCCTATGCACAATGTAGTTCAACATATTATTTATCAATTCTCTATTTATTAGCATGTTAGAATGGAAAAAGATATGAGCCGCGTTATGACAAAACCAATATAATGGGTTTGCGACCAGCATGGATCCAGACCAGCCTGCGCATCCGCGCATTCTGTTCAGGATCCATGCTGTTCGCTTACTAACACTATAACAAGTAGAGAAACTGATAGCGAACAGCATGGAGCCTGATCAGACTGCGCGGATGCGCAGGCTGGTCTGGATCCATGCTGGTCACAAACCCATTATGTTGGTTTTGTCATGACGCGGCTCATATTAATTTGTCTTGCATTGTAGTATGATAATGCACGGTTTATTGTTCAAATGCTTTGAAATTGATCACTCAGGTCTACCAACTTTCATGATTATATTTCTGTGCATTTTAACTCGGCCATGCATTATTTTACATCAACCACTCAAATTGATTTCTATTTCCTATGTAACATACATAGTCAAAGAGACTTTATATAAAATATAAAAATTTCATATCTTGGATATTTTTCTATTGTTGTCTTTGTTCCTTACAGAGTGCTCACAGACAGTCAGACGAAATTAGGTGAAGAATATATACTCAGTGCATTTCCATTTGAATGTGATAAATTAAAAGCAATGCATATTTTAAACACGGTAAGAAATTTTGATTTCTTCTATAAATCTACTGCAATGTCCCTATAAATTATGATTTTTGTGACAATTAGTCTTACTGCTCTGCTGGCAAACTAAATCCCTATATATATATATTTTATAAGCTCGACTATACGAAGTATATGGAGAGCTGTCCTACTCGCCCTGGCGGTGGCATCGGCGTCCACGTCCAGATTAAAGTTTTGGTGCAGTAAAATATTTTTCACTATAACTTTGTCATTTCTTAACGTATCAACTTCAAATATATGTTCCTTATCATCAACCACATCTTTTGTGACAATGTTTATAACTCTAGCGCCAATATTTTCAGATTTATCTCCCATTGAACTTAGAATTAACCTTAAAAAATACTATTTTTTACGGTTACTTCTTTATTTCTTTAGGGATAAACTTCATACTTCAAATATATGTTCCTTATCATCAACCACATCTTATGTGACAAGGTTCATAACTCTAGCACCAATATTTTCAGGTATATCTCCCCTTGAACTTAGAATTTTCCTTAAAAAATACTACTTTTTACTGTTACTTCTTTATTTCTAATGGCATCAACTTCATACTTCAAATATATGTACCTTATCATCATCCACATCTTATGTGACAAGGTTCATAACTCTTCCACCAATATTGTAAGAATTATCTCCCCATAAACTTAGATTTTTTTACTAGAAAAATGTTATTTCTTACTATGACTTTTTTTAGTTTTAAAGGTATCTACCTCAAACTTCAATACTTATTCCTATTATCAATTACATTTTATGTGACAATGTGTATAAGCAATATTTACAGATTTATCTCTCTTGGAACTAAGGATTTTCTTTACGAAATATTATAACTTCTTTACTTTTTAAGGCATCTACTTCAAATATATATTTCTTATCATTACACACATGTTGTGTGACAAGGTTCATAACTCTAGCAAGACTATTTCTAGAATTATTCCCCTTGATCTTGGAATTTATGTTAACAATGTTATTTTTTTACTATATTTAAAGCATAATTATACATAATTGATTTTTCTTTCATAGTTTTGTCTTCCTTACTGCGTCCAGTATTTTATTAGTCGAGCTTCGCTGTCTCCTGTGACAGCTCTTGTTAATAAAGCTGTTTGCTGTTTGCATTTAATTTTCAACCTATGGATTTGCCAAGTTTTGTATTTCAAATTTGGAACAGCCAACTAAGGTATAAAGGATTTCAATTAAAAATGCAGAAATTGAGATAACCAACAGTACAGAGTCAGACCAGCCTGCACTTCTTATTAATGATAAATTATTTTTAATGTTTAATTGTATTATGTATATTTGACAGGTGAGCTCATTTGTTGGGGAGAATGTTGCGGCTGGTGGTCACCAAGGTTACGCTGCCCTCGGAGGATTGTACACACAAGCAAGACCAATGGTTCCTCATCTATATGGTGATGTTAACTACCAAGCTCAACAAATACCTGTAAGTAAATCTGTGTAACAATTATATTACACATTCAATATTCATTGCATGTATATATTGTTCATTGAAAAAGCAAAGCAAACAAGCAGTGACGCATTCCGTGTCATGGGAAATTGAATGTGACATTTTTACCTAGAATGTTTTATCCATGAAGGCTGGAAAAACATATACCTGTGTATCAGGTGTATGGAAATTTACAGGTCCAGTGTCTGACTTTTCAAGGCTATGCATGTGAGTATCCATTATTTTGAAGTCAAGCTCTCAAGTCTAGACAGGTGCAACTGTATCATCCTTAAATACTGATGCATAAGTGTTTTGTTTAGGTTTGTTATGTCACTCTATGGTGTAATACTATATATTATTATAATAAAAAAACTGCAGAGAGGCAAAGATTTTGGGTTGTTTCTGAGAGGTGAAATTAAGTGTAAAAATGAAAGTTTGGAAAGATTTGATTCTGTTGATGAACCTGTTGTAAGGTTATTGGTCTACAGATGGTCACTCTGCAGGGGTTATACTGTACTATTTACACTTCGAACATAGTACTTGTTATAATTATTTGTATTTTATAAGAAATTTGGATTAAGAACTTGAATAAATGACTAATTTTTCATTTCAGGGGCAAGGTGCAGTTCAGATAGCTCCACAAGCTCAGCCAGGTGTGGTCCCTTCAATATATACGGGACACCCATCTTATGCCTACCCTCCCGACATGAGCTACATCAAAGATCGTGGTTACCCGGGCTCCGCTGAGCATCCAATCACTGAAGCTAATATAAAACCTTACCCCGCTGGAGCCCCACCCCTGTCATACCACAGTGGTGCCCCAAACCCGACCGGGTTCAAAACAATGGCATAAGAACCTTGTATGATCTAAAACTGGAGATAACACTTTCATTTCCATAACTTTTTTATGAATACAATTGGAAGAACATTAATTTTATATCACTCTTTAGATTTAGTTTCTTTTAATCTTTTGAATGGAATTTAAAATTCCAGTTTCGGTAATGTTTGTGAAGAAATGAAAACAGTATAAAAAAAAACTTCAAAGTTTTGTTTTTTTCTCTAAGACTTTAGTGGTTTTATTCCCAGTAAATGCAATGGTAATCAAATGTAATGCCAATACAGTATTTTTTTGCATAATAATCAAAATTGAAACAATTTATTAGATAAAGTATTGTGAAATGTTATCAGTATTATTGTTGTAGAAATTGTCTATTTATAAACCAGTATTACACCTGTTAAATTTATTCTTTATTTACCAAAATGGGTATTGTAGTTTTTTTTCTGTTAAGTTTAAAAATATTACTGAAATTAAGATTTGTTTGTTAAAGAAGATGTATATATATATGTATATAATTCTATTTTTTATAGCATTCATAGCTGCCAAGTTTCTATTATATTAACTCACATCATAGAAAAGAAATCTTATCATTCATTTTTTACATCTTAGCTTATTTAGGAATTTGTTTGGATTTTTTTACACACCTTTTAAACTTATATCAATGTTGTTTTTTATAGACTTTTACAAAGTAAAAATCATGGTGATATAAATATACATGTAGATATGAAAAGTTTATAACATAGATTTTTTTTAAAACACCCATTATGCCTCAGAAATGCTTTTAATTTTATTTCTCAAAAGCTTTTTAACTAAAATGGTGTCCCTTTTTGGTATCCAAAAAGTAACTCATTGGCCAAGTACCTGAACCATCTTTTTCATCTATTGCTGTTTGGCAATTCAAGTACAGTTATAGTGAATTAGTATTTTGTATGGAAGTTAAAATAATACATGCACTACTTTGGTTATATTTGGTACTTTAGCGTACGTATATAACAAACTTTTTTTACATTTATCGCAACGTTCTTCAGGTGATAAGTATCTAACATGCTCTGAAATCACTATTTTAATGTTATAAAATTCATAATTGCTCTTTCTAAAGAAGTAAAAATGTATTCATTTTTGAGGCATAATGTGCCTTTAACTTATACCAACAACTTGGGAACAGTATTATAAGACAAATAGTTGTAGTGTTGTTTTTTGTATTGTTATGGAGTGCAATTTAGACTGAAAGACATGACTTATGTGATATAATTTTGTTTTTGTGTTAAAAGATGCATTTTTGTATTATCTTTTTTTATGCTACAAAGAGTTTTATTAACTTGCACTGACGTGCTTTACAGGTTTTTTTTAATTGAGCCGTGTCACAACAAAACCAACATAATGCGTTTGCGACCAGCATGGATCCAGACCAGACTGCACAGGTGCGCAGGCTGGTCTTGATCCATGCTAATAGCAAACGCATTATGTTGGTTTTGTCGTGATGCAGCTCAATTTTTCTTTTTTAACTTACAAACGACTTGTTTCAAATATATTGATGCAATTCATTAATAATCTTTTTTCCGGTAGTCTAGGGTAGATAAAATATCATGTTTTACTATCAGTATTAACAATAAAGTTTAATAACATTAAAAATGATTGATTTTTAATTGAAATTATCTCGTGTAATGTTTACATTTTATTTTTTAAAGAAGTAAGCCAACTTCTGTTATACATGTATTTTATTTTTATTTAATTCCACCAGTTTTGCAACAGTTATCTTTTCAGAGGATGAAATGTTCATGACTTGGTAAAAACAACATCCCAGTATATGTATTTAGATTAATTTCCAATAGTGCTATCCTTCAAATTCAAGAGAAAGTAAATGAGAGGATGTTTGCAGTTTTAATACATGCATTATTGCAGTATTCAATAACTATTAAAAAGCAATATCAAAGTTAACCAAAAATTGAAATGACTTATTAACTCTAGATTTATATTTTATTAACTCTATTTGAATTTAATTGAATTGAATGCTTTAAATAACCGAATCATTTTAACATTTTACCTCTACTCTGATTATCTCCCCTATTAACACATGGATAGCACAGTTGATATCAATATTAATTAAGAGTGGTAAAAGAAATGGAAAAAGGCTCTGTATGGTTTGAAGTGCAAATTAAATTGTGCTAAATTTTACTTTGTTGTTTTTTATTTATTTTTGTGCCCCCACTTTAGTGGCGGGCATTTAGATTTACCCTTGTCCGTCCGTCCGTTCTCTTTTGTGTCGCACGTAACTCAAAAAGTATTTGACCTAGAGTCATGAAACTTCACAGGAATGTTGATCAGCATGGGTAGTTGTGCACCTGGGTATTTTCGTCTGGATATATTTAGTATTTTTAGAGTTATTGCCTTTGACTTTGTAAAAGTTTGCAATTTTCAACTTGTGTCGCATGTAACTCAAAAAGTATTTGACCTAGAGTCATGAAACTTTACAGGAATGTTGATCAGCATGTGTAGTTGTGCACCTGGATATTTTCGTCTGGATATTTTAAGTATATTTAGAGTTATTGCCTTTGACTTAGTAAAATTTTGCAATTTCAAACTTGTGTCGCATGTAACTCAAAAAGTATTTCACCTAGAGTCATGAAACTTTAAAAATCACAGGAATGTTGATCAGCATGTGTAGTTGTGCACCTGGGTATTTTTGTCTGGATATTTTTAGTATTTTTAGAGTTATTGCCCTTGACTTAGTAAAATTTTGCAATTTTAAACTTGTGTCGCATGTTACTCAAAAAGTATTTGACCTTGTCATGAAACCTTACAGGAATATTGATCAGCATGACTGTGTAGTGGTGCACCTGGGTATTATCGTGTGGATTTATTTAGTATTTTTAGAGTTATTGCCCTTGACTTAGAAAATTTTTGCAATTTTCAACGTGTGTCGCATGTAACTCAAAAAGGGTTTGACATAGAGTCATTAAACCTTACGGGAAGGTTGGTCAGCATATTTAGTTTTGCACCTGGGGTTTCCTTTGTGGATTTATCCGGTATTTGTAGAGTTATTTCCCTTGACTTAGTAAAAACCGTTTCATTATGTTGTTATTTGTTCCTGAGTGCTTGAGTTACAATCAACCAACTTTACAGGAATAATGATCAACATCACTAAATTACAGGAATAATGATTCACATCACAGTGAAGCTATGCACCTTGGACTTTGCATGCTGATTTTTTTCAGTTTTGTTAGAGTTATTGCCCTCGACTTACAGTATGATAAATTTGCAATTTTCAACTTGTTCATGCATAGCTCAAAAAGTATTTCACTTGTAGGCCTGAAAGTTTACAAGAATGTTGGTCAGCATGTGTACTTATGCACCTTGGGGTTTGCTTGTGGATTTATTCAGTATTTGTAAAGTTCTTGCCCTTTACTTAACTTAGTAAAAGATTTTTAGTTTTCAAAAAATATTTGACCTAGAGTCATAAGATTGACGACAGAACAGTGGCGCGGTGGGGGCACCCGTGTCCTATGAACACATTTCTAGTTTCCCCTAAATTGAGAAAATGGTTCCCAGCATGATCCAGGCCCCGTGTTCACAAAGATTTAAGGATCAGGATCAAGATCAGGATCAATTTGAAAAACTCTTTTTTATCCTCATAGATTAAATATTTAATATTAATTTGATAAAACTGGACTTGCAATAGCAAATTAATGAAATTTTAGAATAAATTTATTGTTATTTTTACAAGATACGGGCATTTTACAGTTGATCCAAATATTGATCCTGATCCTAAAATTGATCCTTATTTTGATCCGAATATTTTTGTATTTGTTTTGTTATTTGTTAATTTTATCCAAAAATAGTTTGATTTCTTGGCAAATCAGCAATTTTTTACATTTTGAATATTTACTTTTTAATTCTAGCTAAACACAATCAATTTTAGTAACATAAAACAATGAAAATAAAATCAGGATCACTTGATCTTGATCCTGATCTTTTCTTTGTGAACACGGGGCCAGATGTCTAAATTTTCATAGTAAAACTAGACTCCTGACTTTAGTTCATACAAATTTATTTTAGTTTGATTTTGTTGGAAGCTATAAGCTTATTGAAACACTCTTGAATCTGTTCCTGGTACCAACCAGTAGTATTAACAATGAATGTAAAGTCAAACGACTTGCCCGACAGGGTTTGAACCCATGCAGTCAGCAATCCTTAGATTACCAGTCCAATGCATTCATTAACCACTCTGCCAGGCCCACTGGTATGTGCAGTAAGACTATGTGACTTCATTGGATTATAATTATGTTAATAAATTACGTAATATTATGTCTTAATGATAACATGTATGCAATGTAGCTTTAATGTATTCATTATTGGTATATCTCTATGTTAATGTTGACTCTTATTTAAAACCATGTCCGTTTGTTGACTGTAGGATTATCTATGCCATAATCCTACTTGTCCAAACAAAGGAATTAATATCAGAAAGTATTAAATGTTCTTAAGTCAGTTGTTTGACAAATTAATACAAATACAAAACATCAACTATTGTAAACACAAACGTTTGGCAATGCTGCAGTCATATATCAGTAACCTGTCTAGGGTGATCCAATTTGATTATGTGATCCAATGGATATTATGCCAGAGATGAGATGCTCCGCCCACCGATTCACATGACCAGTTAGAAACATAACACCATATCGGATGGACATTGCAATTACAGTGGAATTATTACTGTATATTGGCATCGTCGGAACATGCGGGAACCAAATTTGCTAAACTACATTCATGCAAATGATGTGTATACATAACAAGTATGCTTCAGTTACTGAGGATGGTATATTAGATACACAGTTATTTATTTTATTAGCCCTTACAGTGTTGAAACAGAAACCTCAATCTTAACAGACTGGAGACTGGCTGGCCAAATTTCAATCTTTTTATTATTTTTTTGAAATTGACAGTTCCACTATAGCAGCAGGACAAGATCCATTTGTGATGAGGTTAATGTCAGTTTAAATCAGATTAAAATCAGTTCTAAATAATGCTATGCATTTAGAAATATGCAAGAAATAAAAAGATCTTAAGTCAGATTGGATTACTGTTTTTTGTTACTAGGAAATCTCAGACAAATGAACATCTTCAGGAGTCCTTCAACCTAGAGACAATCCTTCCAAGTTGGGTTGAAATCCAAGCAGTTTTTTTGTTTTTTTTAAAAAGACATTTTACTTATAATAGACGCACACATGTCAGTAGACTTACTCTGGAATAAAGAATATGTTGGGGTTTTCCCAGCTATAACAGGGTTACATACAAACTTTTACAGTTACAGCTCCGAAATAAAGTGATACAAGTCGTCTAATCTATTGTGAAGGGTAGTGCTCTGTAAAGGTATATGGTAAATGTTTGTTTGTTTCGGGGGATAAGCTTGGAAAAACCCACATTTGCTGAGTTTCGGATAACATCTATTGCTGTATGTCATCACATCAGATGCTGCTATGGCTTTGAAGTTAATGACAAGAAAGAAAAAACACTTACATAAGGTGGCAAATTGTTTATTATTTGAAACTTGGCATAAAATTGAACAATAATGATGATGATCTGTTTACATGATGTGATGTAAATGTAAAACAAATCTACATTTACTTCACAGGTACAACCAAGATGTAACTTCAAATGCAAATCTACATTTATTTTACAGCTACATAAATGTTATAACTCCAATACACATACATTTACTTCACAGTTACATCAATGTTATAACTCCCAATACACATCCACATTTACTTCACAGCTACATCCAAGATGAAACTTCAAATCTAAATAAACATTTACTTCAAAGATGTAACTAATGCAAATCAACATTTACATCAAAACTACATACAAGGTGGAACTCCCTTATAAATTTACATTTACATCAAAACTACATCCAAAAAGTAGTTTTAATGTAAATAAACATTTAACATAAATTAAGATTTACTTCATAGGTACATATACACGTGTATTTTGTTCTTCACTGTATAAATGTGATAGATGAGATAAAACATGAATGAAAAAGGATAATAAAAATTTAATTCCTCAAATTTTAAAACATCACAGCAAAATAAGTAAATGCTAAAAATCTTGTACATTAGTCAATATAATGTATAATTATCAATTAAATACATGATTATAAAAAACAAATCCACTTACAGCACCCTGTAAAAAGAATATGACATTAAAAATCTGATAGTCAAATTTGATTTTATAAAAAAAACCCATATTTTCTCACTTTGCTCATCATGTACATTTTAAAACTTCATTTATATATACAAAACTTCATAAATATTCGTTTATCTTTTTGAAAAAACCTTTAAGGTACACTATGGAAGCCTTTTTAAAAATTTTTGATAGAGTTAAAGGTGAAATAATTTTAAGTTTAGGATAATTAACAAGTTTTACAGCAGTTCTAAAATGTCAACCAAGGCAACAAATCTCTAAAATTACCTCGGTCTTAGTGGTCTCTGATAGATTTTCAGAATAAATTTAGTAAAAATTTTGTAGTAATGTTAACATAACAGAAAAACTACAATAGAGCAATCTATTGAAAGTATAACTGTAGAAAAACACTCATTGGTGAAAAGTGAGACTTTGTTAATAATAAAGCACAGTTTTGTTAAGTGCTTTGTACCGTCCCCCATCGATAGTTATGCTCCTTATTATTCACAGAAGTCAGGAAAGACAACTCTAGGTAGGGATTAGCTTTGAGCACCAATCACATTAAAATCAGGTCATTGTTTTCACTCTGTAACTTTTCGACACATAGGAAAGGGAAGTCTAGCAACAGTTAGGATATGATTTCAATGAGATTGCTTTGAGCACTGAGGAACGATTCAAAATATCTTTGTTCAATTTTTATAAACTGGTACATGCTGGTAAGATAACATTTATATTGAAGCACACAAATTAAAAAACATGGATTTCATTTGTTACTGCAAAATCATTATTATTCACGGGGCACTAATTTTCATGGATAGGTTAATCAATCAATGAATTTAAGATGCAACAAAATTTCAAACAAAACTTTAAGATTTGTTTTTGCATTACATTCATTTGCAATTTACATTAATACAAAATAGACAAGCCTCAAGTTTGAAAATACATGGTTATGTCTTTTGTGACAAAACCACAAAATTTTATGCCCACGAATTTAAGTGAATTTACAGTATGTTTCTCGCATAAATCTGAATTCTATCTTCTACAAAAACAACTAATACATATTACATTTACAGTCTACAGTACATTTATTTTGTATTTCATATAAATGAAAAAATAAAATGATAATATTTCTTGAAGTAATTGTTTTACTTAAAACAAGTACATGTCTAAAACTTGGGAGTATAGATGTTGAATAACCAACAAAAATGCTACAGAAAATAAAAATAACAATGGTGGTATTTTCAAATGGATTAATTTTAGTACATTTAGTGGTTGTGGTGTCCACATTGAATTTACCAGAGCACTGTTCAGCCACGGCATTGTTCCTGAGAAAGCTGTCAAATTGTTCACTAGTACTAGTTGCCTTCACTTATGCAAGAAACTGATTACTTCTGTACATGCCAGAGCGGAAGTACAGTGCAAATGACCGTAGAAAGGATTTCATGATCAATCGCAACAAAAGTGACCTGCATGTTTCAGGAATCAGACCCAGGTCTCCTGATTCACAGGCCAACACTCTACTAATGAGCTAACCGGATGACTTTAAGTACATTTGGGTCTTTCATATAGACAATTACCATGATCCTGCTATGGACATAGAAAATGCTAATATATTGTAGCACTTACTCTAAGTGTGCATATATGTGGTACTTATATACACACCAAAAGGAATATTAGTCAGAATCAACTAGGAATCCAAACTAATATTCATATTGGTGTGTATATTAGTGCCACTAATATACACACTAAGATTAAGTGCTACAATGTATTAGGGTGTATTCATTAGTTTGAATCCCACTAGGAACTTTTATGTGAGGAAGCTATTCAAATAACAGAAGGCCAGTGACTCTTTTTTTGTTACCAGCTTAATATAATACACAACAGGTGTCAGTGGCATGTTCTTGGATGTTTGGGGTTACCAGAGGTTTTCCTTTATTAATAAAGCTGGAAAATTGCCATATGACCTTAACAATGTCTTTGTGTCTTAAAACCTAATGAAAAAATGTTATGCACTATTTATATTATAACCATTTTGAATCTTACAGCTGTATTTTTTCTGGTATTGCAGTGGAAGGTGACACAAACAGTAGGAGTAATGATGTCTTAATGACCTTTGCCACAACATTGTGTTTACCTGACAATCCTTTTGGTGGGAATGATATGTAAATATAAATAATATATGAAGAATTGTCAAAAATTTACCGGTTTTACTGAAAAAATGGCATCAAAGGGAGACAAATCTCTTGAAAATATACATAAAGGAAAGTCTATCTTACCCCGTATTAGTCAAAGGGTTATCTATCCTGACTAGACTAGATTATATATAAATGATGAAACTATATATAGGCAAAATATTACAATAAATGATATAAAAAAACCCATTATTTTTCCCCGATCCGGGTTCCCTGGCTATCATATAACATTGTCTGGACTTTTTTGTTTAAAATTCAGGAAATTGCTAACAACTATGGTTGACTATTGTTGATATCTTTTATTTCCAGACTAATCATAATATTTCAGTGTTTATTCCACATTTTTCAGCATTATTATATTGCAATTTCTTCAGAAGATACAGTTATAAACAAATGTAAAAAGATCAAAATAGGCTATCATTTAACTAGTGACCGTTATGCACTAGAATCTCTGGTCCAGGTGTTGATATATTTAAATTAGAAACAAACATGATTGACAGCCCTATCTTACACTGACAATTTATACTGGATTAAGTTACACACATTATCATTATTGTGATTTATAGGACAATAAATGACACAAAAAACACCATAAAAACTGGTGAAATATCATCCAATCAAACAACTCTGACAAATCAATTACACCTATAATGTATTGTCTACACATAAGACGATGAATAATGAGAAAATTGAAATTCTTAATACTTAAGATATAACTTATATAAGTCTACCCATTTCCCCCACCTGCAGCAGTGCAAAGCAATGCATTTGTATTACTTTATTTCATTACGGTGTCCAAATTTTGTAATTTTGATATCCCTAAAATTGACAATGGAAAGTTCATAAAACAGAAGTTGGGCAAATCCATTTAAGAAATTTAGGTAAACATTTACAGGATAAAAGTAAAAATAGTGATACTAGTCATCAGTAAATACTTTTAGTTTATTCAAGACTGAGGTTATATCACCATATAAGTGAAAATATCATTTATATCACCACTTGTTTAAAATTTAAAGAAATGATAAAAAAAAAAACATCAAAAAAGTTATTAAAGTTTACATAATTATACAAGGTTGCCATAGAAGTGAAAATATCATTTATATCAACACTTGTCTAAATGAAATAATAAAAAAATTTAAATAAAATTGATTGTTTCAGATTACATATACTGGCTATTTGGTCATATTTGTCACTATAACAATTTCATTGTTTACAATACAAAATATAAAATAATAGATGGACAGTCGATATTGATATAAAAACATAAAAGGAACTACGGACAAAAAATATCTAAAAATTAACCTACACATTCACAAGGAAAATTACCAGTCGAAATAAGGGCCATCTAAAACATGCATCATATTCTCCACAGCTTCAAAATAAAGCCATACAAAAAATGAACAAATAAAATGTATGACCAAAACAATTGCATTTTATACACACAAAAATTGCATTTTTTTCTCTGACTAAATTTATGAAAGACATAAAATAATGTTAATGCTTACGAACTGTCCAGTTCACGTTCAAAGTGAATCTAGAAAAACAGTGACAAAAGCCTACGATATGTCACATTAAGTCGACATACTCAATTTAAACACGGTAAACATGCGAAGTACAGTATGTAGTTGTCTAAAATGGATTTACAAAGGTTTTTTCCCCCCGAAGATTTGAATGTTTGTGAATCACTTTTATAACCAAGATTTTGTTTCATTTTTATTTTAGTCAAATATTTACAATCTACTTTGGATTTCAACAATATAAATATGAATCTTTTGATGGCAAATGATTTAATTACGAGAAGATTGGCATTAAACATCTAAATAAACAGATTACCTGAAACATTAATATTTTACCTCTATATAAAACCTCAAGGTTACAAAAGATTTTGGTGACAGGGCCGGTAAAAACTTTTTTTTAGTTTTTTTATGAGATTGACCCTGCAGATACAAGAATTTTAAATAAATTTCTTTTTTTATCATATAAAAACTTTTATAATCAATACTATGTGAAGTATAATTTTTTTTTGTTATGTAATGGACTAGTTGTCTCATGATAAGATAAAACGTACTTACATTGCATACCTATACTTCATAAACTGAGCTCAAATACATGTAGGCCATATTACACCTGAACCATAAATAACATTTTCATAAATAAATGGCAGAATATATATAATTTAAAAAAAAAATGAAATACTTTGAGTTTAAATTATTTAAGACCTAAACAAAAGCCGTCGTTATCGTTTTGTATTCATTGCAAGATCTAACTCGTACTCCAGATCTTCGGCGTTATCCAGATTATCAAGACCGCCATCGTCTTCCTCGTCAGCATCATTCTCTTCGTCATCGTTCGCTTGTTTCAACCACTCTTGAACACGACTTTTTACACCTTCGACAAATGCTAGTTCTGATAACATTGAGTCAGACTCGTTATGACGCTCAATATCACTTAGACCACACTTTTTCTGAAGGGGTTTCCAGTGTTGAAAATCTGGAGCAGACGCAACTGCAGTCAAATGAGCAACATTTTTTTCTGAACTATTTGATGAGTTGATTAATTCAATTGTGGGAACTATCACATGATGATGTTCCGGTGCTTGTTGGGTATGAGTGGAATGTAACAAATCGTCAGATCGTGCACCGGTTTCAATAACCATTGGTGACACCTGAGGACAGTCTTCTAAGTTACTCCAAGGTGTCGGGAAATAGTTATCACTAGAATTAACACCATTACATTTACATGAATCTTCTTCGTCTTTATCGTCATTTGATGGAAATATAGAGTACACAGTTTTATGATAATCGGATGGCCTAGGTATAAGAGTTGTCTGCGGAGAAACATACGGAGACCCTGTCTCCGTTATATGCGAGTATGATAAATTGTTAACCCATGTTGGAACATGAGCAATAACTGGTTCGTTGTTAGGGACACTGTCTGCTAGATGGGTGGGGGATGGGTCCGTGCTGTCATTCCACGGTAGTGTTTTCTCAGCAATGGTTTCTTCAATGGGTGATATATCATTATTTGTCGAGGGTTGTGGGGAGACATCATTGGTGGTAGAGAGATAAAATGATGTGTCGTTAACGGCAGATTCTGCAAATACAAAAGAAACAAAATAAAAACCTTGGTGATTATTATTCCATAATTAATCTTACTAAAGGCATAAAAACTTCTTATTGAACAATACATGTACTAAAAAAGCAATATAAATAAAACAAACATTTAACACATGCTAAGAAACAAAGTAAGACAAACTGATTTATAACAAAATTAAACATTTTTACATTTACACGAGCAGAAAATAATTCTGCACTCAAATAAATATACGCTGTATAAATCATCTATTTCCTGATACAAATGAATACTCCGATATAGTTAACATGAAACCAAACTAACCATTTCACCATTTTATTTAACAATCTAGCAAAACTACTCCTTAATTATTTCCTGGAATATTATCTCCAACCTTTGTCGTCATATTCACATATTTATATAGATATCTGATATCAACCATCATTTTATACCTGGTTTTAAAAGAATGCTCTGTGAAATTCAATGCAAATTAAGCCTGCCGTATTTATGAAATTTCTGTGAATGCAAAGCGTGCTGTATTTATGAAATTTCTGTGAATGCAAAGCGTGCTGTATTTATGAAATTTCTGTGAATGCAAAGCGTGCCGTATTTATGAAATTTCTGTGAATGCAAAGCGTGCCGTATTTATGAAATTTCTGAGAATGCAAAGCGTGCCGTATTTATGAAATTTCTGTGAATGCAGTTTGCCATATTTCTTGATGGTCTGTGAATGCAAAGCGTGCCATAGTTCTTAAAGTTGATGCTAACTATGGAAGCAAGGAATCTGTTGAAGTTGAGGCAACACTAGAGTCTGCCTTAATTTCTTACTGATATTGTTAAAATAAATATTTCATTTATATGAATGCTAGTAGCAAGAATAACTTATGTCCCCACATATAGAGCAAGATTTTGACTGTTTGTTGAAATGTTTATTTTTCTTCCCTTTCTATAAACAGCTACATTTATAAAATATATACAACATAATATAATATAATAAACTTTATATATTATTATAAAGACAAGAAAATGTCATGTAAGGATATAGAAAATACTGAAGAGCAGGAAAAACTGTGAATAAAGAAACTGATATTTCATCACTAATCTACTAAGGTAAATGAGGTTTCTCCGATTATATAATAAGGAAAATATTACAATAAAATATTTTCTACCTTGATAAGCAAAATTAATATTCATCTGAAGAAAAAAGTGTTAGATCTATTTTTCAATATCTCATGCAGTTATTATACAATAATGCATATGATTTTGTATACATGTATATTATTAGTTATAAATATTTTTGATAGTTATATGGCCTTATACAAAACGGTTGTTGGAAAATATAACCTGAGTCAGTAGGCCAGGGACATATTGCAAACAGCTGTTTGTATATGGTCATAAAGCCTGTAAAAAATATTTGAGCCGTGTCACAACAAAACCAACATAATGGGTTTGCGACCAGCATGGATCCAGACCAGCCTGCGCATCCACGCAGTCTGATCAGGATCCATGCTGTTCGCTTACATACCCTATAACAAGTAGAGAAACTGATAGCAAACAGCATGGATCCTGATCAGACTGCGCGGATGCGCAGGCTGGTCTGGATCCATGCTGGTCGCAAACCCATTATGTTGCTTTTGTCCTGACGCGGCTCATTTATAACAAATTTATAATACAGCAGCATCTTTTTCAGGGAAAAAATTGAAATATCCTCATTTACTTACAACAGCCATGTATACTATGATTTGGTATCCAAATGGTCCTACATATAAAATCTAATGAAGTATAATCTGTTATTATTATAAATGTTTTACTGGACTGAAAATAGTAGATCTTTAATAAATAATTCATAAATATCACTATGGTAATTGACATATTGTACTCCCCCTCACATCATTAATACAATATACTTTGCTGATTTATTTGATATTTAATATGGTGGGAGTTTGATGAAATATATAATTATATATTAATTCTCAAGTGAAAAACTTAAGTGCTGCATTTAAATAGCTTAGAATTAATATATAAAATTGACTGTTCTTCATGAATGAGGAATGCATTTTACATCATAATGAATTATTTCCAATCAAAAAAAGGCAAGCTAGGGAATACTTGAATTTATTTGACTGTTAGTAAGAATAAGCAATATCATAATAAACAAATGCATGTAAAGTGTATAATAATTGTACGTAACTCAAAGCAAAATCCACAAAACCAAATATTCGTTATTCACATAATTATATTAGCTACAAAAGGAAAGCGAAATAAATATCATTTACAGTTATTAGTAAAACATACTGTTATTTAAGATGACGGAAGTTTTTAACGAAGGTTAAAAAAAGAGGAAGCTGTCAACGAGGGTTAAAAAACTGAGGGTGAAAAATTGTACCTTTAGTGCTTGTTGTAAAATTGATTGTCACAGCAGCCAGATCACTATCTGATGTCATGCTATCTGAACGATTGGATTCTACAATGTAAAAATGATAACATATTATAGTTAAAACAAGATCATCAAGTAACATAATGTACCTATCTGATAACTAAACTGTTTGTACCGAATGACCGATCTACTATTATGTATGACTTTCATTTAAACCCTAAACTTTTTGAGTTTTATTATGGACTTGTCTATATTTCATTTTTGGGACTGACAATTATCAATTATAGGGTTATAAAGATGAAAATTCAAAGTAAGCCAGCAAATAGTGTAGAGCTGGTTCGACTGTGCGGGCCTGCAGTCTGACCTGGCTCTGCACTGGTCGCAAAGGTTTGACACTGTCTGTTCCAGCAAATTAAGTGTTTACCTTCGTCAATAAATATTACATAAAGTTAATTTTTTTTACAGTGACCATCATATCAAGTTAACTTTTACGATTACCATTTGAGCCGTGTCACGACAAAACCAACGTAATGCATTTGCGACCAGCATGGATCCAGACCAGCCTGCGCATCCGTGCAGTCTGATCAGGATCCATGCTGTTCGCTATCAATTTCTCTACCTGTTATAGGGTTTGTAAGCGAACAGCATGGATCCTGATCAGACTGCGCGGATGCGCAGGCTGGTCTGGATCCATGCTGGTCGCAAACCCATTATGTTGGTTTTGTCGTGACGCGGCTCATTTTATTAATCACTCTATTGGCTTCAGCAACACAGCATGCAATATTTACTAAAGCTCGGAATTCATCTCTTCCTCGTGTGATAATGCTTAATGGTTTTTATTTTTTTTTAAATCTTGATATGACCCAGTTGAAGTATTTAGTTCCACTAAGAAACAGATTTTATAGCTTGAATGTTATGATTATTATTACATTGTATGTAATAAAACAAAAATGTGCCAGTATTAAAGTCCTATAATGTAACTATATTTGTTCAAATTGCATTGAACACAGTGTACGGTGCGGTGTGTTATAAAAAAAATAAAATTTTTGCAGGCATTAAAATAAGTAAGTTTTACCAATACAAGTGTGTTTTAACATAAAATCATAAGATATGCAACGCAAATTATATCAAAAAGTTAACTTATTTCATTGAATTTTGACGGCTACAATTCATCGTTTAAGTTTGTCATTTTTTTATAAAACAAGAATCCAACACAGTTCTCTAACCTTTAAATCAAAATCAGCACATAGTCATTTTGTCAGCAAGATTTTAACTGGATAAATATATGTAAAAATATTGTCCATTTTTTATGCATATTGTCTATTACAGATGCATATTGTTTTAATTGCAAGTGCTGGTTATAGGTGTTTTAAAACTATCACAACGCTTTCCTTATATTTACAATTTGGCTAATAGGCTTACTTCGATTAAAATTTTAACTTTTAACGATTACCATTTGAGCCGTGTCACGACAAAACCAACTTTGCGCCAGCATGGGGTCCAAACAGCCTGCGATCGGATTATTTGGTCCAGCTTTTCATTACAAACCCTATTTAAAAGTAAAGGAAAATATGGAAAAGTTGGGCCCATGTGCCAGTAGGTGGTTGGAAGTTCGAAAAAATTATGTTGGTTTTTGCAAACCCATTTGCATTTTTCCATAAATCCAATTGCCACCACAATTCCCAAAAAAGGTTTCAAACATAAAAATAAAATTGTTTTTATTTAAAAAGACAAAGTTCTTACCACTCATTAACCACTTTTCAAAAAAGGAAAAAAAAATAATTTCTAATAAAAACATTTTTTTGTATCATCTTTTTTTTTTAAGCCCCCCAAATAAAAACATGGGAGGTGATCAAATTAATATTAAAAAAAAAAAAAATTTCTATATTTAAATTTTTGGGTTTTTTTTTTTTGTCGGTTAACAAACAATTTCAATTAAAATTTAAAATATTTTTTTTTTATACAATTAAAAATTTTTAAGGTTTTGATTAAACCAAATTGGGCCTCTTAATAGGAGGGTTTAAACAAACATTGTTTTATTCTTTCAAAGCTTTTCCACTCTTACGAAAAAATTTCGGGTTCTCTTTTTTGCCTGCTTGTGCCCGGAATAAGACAGGGGAGGCACTTTTGGTTTTCCCCCCAATAAAGGAAAACCCAAAAGCCTTTGGGGTTTTTCTGCAAAATAACCCCCTTCCCCCACAAAAAAAAAAAAAAAATTTTAAGAAAAAAATTTATTAGAACCATTTTTTTCCATTATTCAAAAACAAATTTGCAATTACATGAAAAAAAGACACCCCCAATTTTGGGGATGGGTTGAAAAAACCAGACCTTTAAATTTGTTGTTGTACAAGAAAATAAAAATTACAAAACCAGTAAGTTTTTCTAGTCACTTTCTAAAAAATCCAATTCATTATAAACTGTGCTATAAAACTTAAAAAATTCTTTCGGTACCAAAAAACTTTTTGGCGTTTTTTTCTTTTACCAAGTTATAACATCCAAAATACCCCTTAAAAAAAACATCAGAATATATAAACTAATTTAAATTGTATTTTAAAGCAAAATTTCAGTTTCAAAAAATGAGAAAGGAAAGAAAAAAAATTTTAGTAAAGTAATCCATCAATAAGTGAAAGTTTGGATAGCGGGCAGTATAATTTTTAACATGGTTGGGGATTTGCAAAGGAAAACTATGTAAATTTATAATTCTGAATCATTTATAAAAAACATTTTCCTCCCCATTTTTTTTTACATTGCAAAGTTTGCCTGCCAAGAAAAACGCTCTATTTTTTTTTAAATTTGCCGAATATTTATACGTGTTTAAACCACTATTGTATTAAATTAAAAATTTATATGTTAAATGAGCTGGACTTCATTCACTCAAAAATTAATTTCTTAAAACTCTGTATATGACCTTTAACCTATACTAACATATCCAACTAGGGAATTCAAATTCCAACATAAAATGTACTCTAGCTAAATGTCTGTACAAAAAAAATAAAGATTCTCCGATAATATTTTCAATGTTATATTGTCAGAATAAACCCAAAGAAAGCTATGTGGAGAGAAGACTGTAAATAGAAAAACTTACTTTTAGCAACTCTACCATTGGAGAGGTTATTTCCTGGTTTTAAATACTGATCAGAGTTTTGCGGTGTCGGATCAGGTGTCCGTATGCTTGAATTATTCTTGTGATACACAACACGATCTATAGACTCCACAGATTCACCTATGGTGTGCCGCCTGTTCATGTGCCACTGAAAATATATATAATAATATGAATATTAAAATTAGAATAAGACTACATTAAAACTCTAGACTTAAATTTGCCTGATATGAAATTCTTTAGATGAAAAACAGCATTCACGATCATAACTGAAAAAGTCTTGGCTTACAAATATATCAAATAATAATTAACCAAGAATGAAAAAAAAAAAAAAAAAAATCAACAAAATCAAATCAACATCAGGATGGACACAATATGGAGAAATGATTGTATATTTTTTCTTTGCTTGCTAATGTATTTATTCAGGGCTTTAGTAAACTTTTTTCAATAATGAATTCAAATATATGCAAAAAAATGTAAATTGGTTCTAAAATTTTGAGAGTTCGGAAAAGTTGATTGAACTGCTCTTAGCACATACGTATCATCAAAAATACATTTTTCAGAGGATTGGTCAATTTTTCTAGTATATTTAACATGAAAAAAATACCTTAAGATATAGGCAAATAATTCAATAGCTTTGATATAAATCAGCATAACATACATATGAAATACAGTCAAACATATGAACAAAGGCCACTCTAAGGAATGACCCAACATGAAGTTCATAAAATGTTATTGAAAAGTGGCCTTTATTTACAGTGTGGTTTATATTTGCAGATGGTCTTTAACACAGGACCAGGTTTGACTGTAGTGTGCACTAAATGAACAAATGCACTTCATGAAAAAAATTTACATGACATTAAAATATATGCAGATAATGGTTGCATATATTCAGTATGACTAACAAAAGAGTCAGATACAGAAAAATCTAGTGGATATGGTAATTGGAAGAAACCATCTCTGCAATCAAAGTCAATATCAAATAATTATATAAACATAGTGTAATATACAAAGGAACCCTGGTCCTATTTTGTTAATACCTTACATTTTAACCTGCTGATAAGAAGATTGTGCTCTTCTTTTTTGTTGATTCTAAAGCTGACCAAATTGTTATGGTAATACGGCAACATTCAAGCTTTACTGGTTGAGGAATGAAGACCTAGCTTAGAAGTCCCTCTGTGCATTATTTCAGGCATAAGCAGGCATATGAGTAGAACCTCTGACTTTTCTGAAGTTTAATATGCTGAAGCCATTTGTTGTTAACCGTTGAGGATCAGACTTTTTGGATATGCAATGTTTTTGCTCTCCTTATTTCACATGGTCTTACAAAGGGGGATCAATCTTCCTCAAATGTTAAAAATATTTCAAATCGGACAAAAACCTATTACAGTATTGTCATTAAAGTTACAATTTAAAGCTGAAAATATTTTACTCAAATGTACTCTTAACAATGACCCGGAATATATTCATGGTAACATTTTACTTGTTTCTAAAGGCGATAATCACATGTTGTCCACTGTTGCACATAAAAACTTTTTAATGGATATAATGACCTACTTCATGTTGATTTACATTAAATCTCCTAAAAATACTATTATTTTCTTCCATGTGACTTCATAAAAGTCTTTACTTCTACGTCGTTCTTTCAGTTATCGCCACCTTATACTGTTCTATTTTTCATGACTTTTAGGGCTCGTAACATTAAAAGTAAACAAGACAAGAGCTGTCCGTAAGACAGCGCGCTCGACTTTTTTATTGCTTGCCAATAAAAAAAGTTTTTGCAGTAAAAGGCAATACAAGAATCTCTGTATTTTTAAAGTGAACAATGGCCATGAGCATTAAGATATTTAGTGAAGAATTATTTTACTGAATTGTGTGATACCCTTGAACACTGCAGCAAAGTTTGAAATGTTTAAGTCAAAAGAGGGCTGGTAAGAAAGAAAAAAAAACTGAGTTGAGCCTTAAATAAATTTAATAGTATTAAACCCACTTTGAGAGAATAAGGTATTTTTACGTCACTCAGAACACCTTGGTAAATGACATAATAACATAATTTTTCAAGAAATCTATGCCAAAAGGAAGCAGTATATTTTTGTACAATCAGCATAATATATAGATTTGACTTTGTATGTGAAAGTATTATAGTTACCTTATAATACAAGTAATAGATAAATTTTATCAAGCTTTTTTAGATGTTGTCAGTTGGTCACAAGTGGATCTCTTTCACACAAAAAAAAAGTACAAAAAGAGAAAAATAACTAGTTGTTTGATACCCTTGAATATTACAGCAATGTTTATATGACATAATTTATGGTAAAGTGAACAAGTGGATAGGAATGAATTTTTTTAGATTTTTTAAGTTTTTTAGTGCTTGCCTATAATACAAAACATTGACAGTTAAGGGCCATAATTCAAATAAAATCTTTGACAGAATTACCTTCTCCTGGACATGTTTGGGAATCATGATTGTAAACAAGTATTCCAACTTTCAAATTAATATCTCAAACAGTTCAGTCAAAAAGTGGACTGGTACTAAAAACTTAACCAAGATTCTAAGTCGATAAAAGGCCTTAATTTTTAAAACAAATCCTTGACAGAGTTACCTTCTCTTGCGTACAGATGGGGGTAATGATGTGAAATAGCATTAAAAGTTTCAAAGCAATATCTCAAAGGGTTAAGGCAATAAGTGGATTTTACCCATATTCAATGTATTTTCTAAGTCAAAAAGGGCATAATTCTGTCAAAAACCTTGACAGAGTTATGTCCTCTTGTCTGTTGATGAAGGTCGTGATGGTAAACAAGTATGGTCAGTTTCAAAGCAATACCTCCAATGGTTTTGAAATAAAGTGAGGTGGTACAAAAAACTTAACCAAGCTCAATACACTTTCTAAGTCAAAAAAGGGCCATAATTCTGTCAAAAACCTTGACAGAGTTATGTACTCTTGTCTGTAGATGGAGGTTATGATGGTGAACAAGTATGGTAAGTTTCAAAAGCCATACTTGTAATACTTCTGAAATAAAGTGGGGTGGTACGAAAAACTTAACCAAGGTGTGACGCCAACGCCGACGCCGACGCCGGGGCGAGTAGGATAGCTCCCCTTTTCATAGAAAAGTCGAGCTAAAAAATGTATCATAAAACAGTTGGAAGTTACCATTACAATCTCTCAACTGAAGAGATAATAAAGTTAAGATTAATCTGTCAAAGGTTTGCAGGCATAAAATCTTCCAGCAGATCAAATTCAAGAGCTTTCGGATATAAATATTCCTAATCAATATACGGGCATTCTATAATCACTAACTGGTGGTATTGTCTGCCACTTTACAATATCTCCATTTGAAATAAGTATCGAAAACAATTAAATTCTGAGCGTGATATGTCAGATATTGTGTAACCGTCTAGTTTTTAAACCCCTAGTTATTGCACTGTTTTAAATGGCCCACTGATAAAGAAAGACGTGCAGCCTGACCTACTCGAACAAGATACTGTATAAGGTTTATTTAAAAAACAATTATTTTAGTGCATTGTTTAAATGATTAAGTTAGATTTATGTGTTAGTGTCAAGGGGTCAACTCCTATAACGATCTTGTCATCTTAACATATAAAAGGATTTAAAACCCTATTACAATGCATTTATCAAAGCACAAATTAGCTTTATTAAACTAAGGTTTTTTTTATAAATGGCCTTGTTTTTAAAGCCTATTTTATCAATCAAAATATGTTTAATGTGTTTTCTTTGGTTTTAAATCACACTGAGACACTGTCCAGGTCAAGTGGGTGACTTTCGTAATATATTGGTCAGGAAGACCTCAGGTGCTCTTTTGTTCATTATTACAGGTACGAGTGGGCACCTGAGTTAGAGATTGACCTTCCACAAGCCAGATTTGAAGATTCCTCCCTTGTGGGATTTGAGCATAAAGCAGTGACGAACAAATGAATGTGTGTTTAAGTCCTTGGTAATGCTCAATAACAGCAATGTCCTAGGTAAGAATCAATAACAGCAATGTCCTAGGTAACTATCAATAACAGCAATGTCCTAAGTAACTATCAATAACAGCAATGTCCTAGGTAACGGTCATTAACAACAATGTCATAAGCAATGATCAATAACAACAAATTGTCCCAGGTAACTATCAATAACAGCAATGTCCTAGGTAACTATCAATAACAGCAATGTTCTATCTAACTATCAATAACAGCAATGTCCTCAATGTCTTAGGTAATGCTCAATAACAAGTTAACAACAATGTTCTAGGTAACTATCAATAACAGCAATGTCCTAGGTAACTATCAATAACAGCAATGTCCTAGGTAACTATCAATAACAGCAATGTCCTAGGTAAATATCAATAACAGCAATGTCCTAGGTAACTATCAATAACAGCAATGTTCTAGCTAACTATCAACAACAGCAATGTCCTCAATGTCTTAGGTAATGCTCAATAACAAGTTAACAACAATGTTCTAGGGAAAGATCAATAACAGCAACGTCCTAGGTAATAAACAATTAATAACAGCAATGTCATATGTAACTATCAATAAAAACAAAATTGTCAATTACAATATTAATAAAGAAACCCAGCCTGTTTGCTCCTGGAAATAATTTTAGACAGACATTGAAGTCTAAATTGAAGCACAAAGAAGAAGAAAAATCTCAAATAATATCAAATTAAGGAAACAGAAGAATGATGACATTCTAGCTTTTTTATGACATTTAAATTCTGCTGAAGATTTTTTTGCTACATCTAAATAAAAATTGTCATTCATTATACAAGTCAATGCACAGAAATATAACTTTCAGCTTAAGTATCGAAGAAATTGTATTTCTGGAAAAAAAATTCCTGTTTGTAATACATCTGGATAGATGATTGCAATGCATTATAGGCCTGTAAATTATCAAATGAACAAGGGTATTAAGGAGGTATTGTGGTTAAGAACTTATAGACTGTCCCTTGACATTAAGATGGTAAGCTATTATACAATGTATTTTACACCAGTACTGGTTTAAGTTCCAGAAAGCAAACGCAAGTGTAGATCAAATCAATTTCCAGCTTTCATTACAATTAATTAGGAAATAATAAAGAAAAATATAAACCCAGAAAAGCAAACTATGTACTATGTTAATTTATCTCATCAAATTGCTTTCACATATT